TTGATTTACATTTAACCCCTTATTTATATTTTAGAAGTAGTGCATGAGAATATTGTTCATATTTAGGACAAGCCAATAAAGAGGCACATAACAAAGGTCCAAATAACGATTTAACCCTTCACAAGCACAAAAGTATCATTCCTACATTCAGTTGCCCATGGATTACTGATTATTGTCATCATCTGAAGTATCTATCACTGTTCATCCCTCTGCTTCCCTGAGATTCGAACTGATGCCAAATTTTTAGTGAAAAGTTAAAATGGACCACGAGGCACATCTCGCTGCTGCCCAGGCACATTAGGCAGATCTATCGACACTTAATCAAAACACCTACTACACATAAGGTGCTATACTAGGCTGTGGGGCCATGTTACCAAGGTTTGCTCCAGGGAACCCTTCAGCACCCCACCACGGGAGCACGCTCGTTGTAGTTGGGTGTCCCAAGTTAATGCTGCCTCATCGGTATCCTACGGGCCAGGATGGAACTGCCCCATTCAGACATAAATCCTTTAGGGAGCAGATTCCCAGGACTTTTCTCCCACAGGGCATTGGCTGGGCTCAAATCCCGAAATGTTCCCTTAGCATAAAGGGCTTAACCACTGTGCCCTGTGAAAGCTGCACTGCAGAGTGCAAGCCCAAGGGATGCTGAGGAGTGAGGTGAAAATGATGGCGCATGAAGATCTGAGAGGTCAAGGTCAAAGCGCTGAACTCCTTCCCACTGAAGAGCTTGAGCCAGGGCAGTAGAATGATCTGTTTGCTTTTTAGGGAGTTCACTCTGGCAGTATGGGAATAAAGGGCAATTCATAGAAGGCACCGGGATGAGCTGAATCGGTGCAAAGGAACAAAGGCATGGCCCTCTGCTGCTGTCCAGCTCACAGCCTTGAAAAACCCCTGGGGCAGGGCTACTCTGTCTCAATGGGGCCTTGTAAGTCACAGGGAACTCCTTGGCAATCAAGTTCTTTTAACTGGAGGGGGAGGGTGGGGGGTTGTTTATAACGGGATGTAGTCACATTTGGGACTGGGGGTCTGTTTTTGTTACGTTAACAAGGTGGCATGGTGCAGCACACCCACTGTCATCAGGTCCACTCTGATTCACAGTGACCAGACTGGACAGAGGAGAACTGGGGCACAGGGT